CGCCCCCGCCAATCCCCTCCCCCTGCCCCCTTTCCCTTCTCTGCTGATTACCATAGCAGCCTAGTTGAGGTTACCTGAGCAATGTAGATGGCTGAAGGTAGCTAGGAAGAGTTTCAATCCAGCAATGCTGAATTCCTTGAAATATTTGAAAGCAAACTTGGAGTTACGCGTGTTACAAGAATTCTCATGGTATCGCTTAATTTCTTCCCCTCCTATTTCCCACAGTTGTGCTACCTTTACACAGACTTGTACAAGCAGACCAACTCCAAAGAGACTCGGCGTGTCTTCCTTGAGTTTTACCAGTTCTTCTTGGACCGAGCTGCAGTAGGTTCCAGTCCTTTCTCTCATTTTCAAGCATATCTAGCAAGTTGACTTTTACCTTTCTCCACTCTCCTGAACTGGAAAAAACTGAGGAGTTATTTAAGTCCAAAATAAAAAGTTTTTTTGTTTAAATGTTACCAGTGAATATAGCAAAATCAATGGTACATAGCCTCAGATGCCTGATAACTCAATAACTCACAGGGAATGCATTGTCTGATAGGCAAAATAATTTTGTGATATGTAAGCAAGCTCTAGCTGGTATACATTGCCTTTTAGTTAATAATTGCTGCATATATTGATGTGGCTCTTGCAAGGATTGGGAAATTTTATGTGTCTGTTGGAAAGCTTGAGAAACTTCTTCACTATCATGAATTGGACTACCAAATGGTGTAGCAGAGGCTAGTACTACTAGATGAAATAATCCTTGTGTAATATAATGTATATTCAGGATGGGAGTCTTCACCTTAATACCTTCAGGTGTTCAGGTTGTATGATTTCAGCTTGTATGTTTTGTACTGTGCATTTTATTGGGGTGGTGTTTGTTGTGTGCGTTCTCCCAGTCTTTCTTTTCTTTTGCAGAATCTAAAAGTTCCAGTTCCAGATGAAATCTCCTTAGAACTAGGTAGGGTGCTCTTGCCTCGGGTATCTATTTTTCCAGTTTCTACTGTCTGAGGCAGTCCAAGCAAGTTTCTGAAATGCAGTTAGGATTACTCCAAACATACGGTGTCGTGTGTTACAGGGAGAGACAAATAAATACTACTTATGTTTCTTGGGGAGAGCATAATGCGTGCTCTGATACATGCGTAAGTGGTTGGAAGCATTGGCCGTGTTGGCATGTACATTTTTTAGTATGACAGTGGATGTGACCAAAGCTGCTTACACTTAATGGACTGAAGTTCATGTTATCAGCAAGTGAAAGGCAAAAGGGTACTCTTGGATGGGTTAAAGTATACATGTGACTGTCTTTATTCTAAGGTGGAGAGGACTGTTCTGAAAAGAATAATCTATTAACTTTTCTTTTCTGACTTACAGACAGAAGAAGGCCAGAACTCCTTCCTGAAGAGCTTCATCGCCAGTTTATACAAACTATGCAAGATAAAGTCTGTCCAGAAGTTCAAAGAAATCTGGAAGATTTCAGGTAATAACAGTTATCTCTGTAGTTTTCTTTTAATTTGTACCTGCCCTCAGTCAATATGTCCAATACAGCGGAAGTCGAAACGTGAGGGTCATAGTAATTCATCTTGGACTGAATAGTAAGATACCACTAGAGAGGGCCTCCAGGGTCACCCTGTGACCAATCCTTGAATGTTTTTTGACACTGTGTTGCAAGTCATCAATTGCAATATCAATTTTAGAGGTTGGATTCTTCATTCCTTGAAGCTATTTGAGGCAATTTCAGAATATTGTTACTTAGGTGATGTTATATGAATCCTTCTTACTAATTGTGTTTATAATCAGCTTATATCTTTTTTTTTCCCCCTCCTTTTTTCCTTCCCGCTCCCCTTTGGGCATGGAATAATCCACTTTAGAAAGCTGTGATGGTCATATAGTAGAATTTGATAATTAACATACTTTACTAAGACAAGTGTCCAATAATGGACTTCATACCTAAAAATGTCTCAATTCAAGTATATGCTTCAAAGATACAGCCTGGGATGCTGCAAAAAGAGTAACTACTTTTTCTTGACCCTTGCAATGGCTGCCTCTTGATAAATATCATACAACTTTATCCCTCTGAAGGCTGTCTTAGCTAGGTTTTACAGTGAGTGCAAATGTTATGGAGAAATGTCATGACTTCTCCATTTTCATACAGAAAACCTGTTTGACATTTTGAACGTCAAGAGGTTGCTTTTCCTTGTTACAGGTCAGTATTCAATTTCAAGTGATGCTTCCCTCTCCCAATTTTTCAGGCAGAAACGTAGTATGGGATTGACCCTGGCAGAAGGAGAGCTAACCAAGCTGGATGCAGAAAGAGTTCGTGACCGGAATGCAGTGGAGAAGGAAAGAGCATGTGCAGAACAGATTATTGCTAAAATTGAGGAAGTGTTGTGAGTAACAGCAAGTATAATTGTGGGGGTAAAAAAGGTTCTACCCTGAACCTGACAACAGCAGAGCAGAGGAACTAGGAACTAGAAGCAATTTGACATCACTACATTTACATTGCTTCCTGTTTGCTATCAACGTATGTTTGAGTGATGATAACCAGAAGTAAGCTAATAGGTAAAGTCCGTACATGTTTTCAAGGAGGCTACTATTCAAATAGCAGAGGAAATGCTTCCATTGTCAGCTTGTGCGTTATTAGATCAGAATCCTTTTTTTGGGTTATAGAAACCTATAGCTTCAGAGCTCATTTTTTCTTCTAATGTGTGCTGAATCCAATTTTTCCAGCTGAACCTTCATTTTTGTTTACTCCCCGCCCCTGGCACTCCCTGGGACTTTCTAACATTCTAAAGGACACTTTGAACGCAACTGCTGATGCTCTGGGTGGATGTGACTGGGTGTCAATTGATTTTTTGAGTTTCGTTTTTAAATTCTTGTTTTTAGGATGACATCTCAGCCTTTGGAAGAAGATAAGAGGTAATGGAAGTTGTGTGGGCTTAGTCTGTGAAGTAAGAACCTCACTGCTGGCTCTGTGTTTTGCTGAGCAGAACAAGACAGCCCTCTGCTGGCTGTAGCCACAAACTCTCATTTTCTAAATCCCCTGGCATAATTAATTTGAATTCAGAGCATCAACCTCTTGCTCTCAACCTCTTCTTATTCTGAAGTTTGTTGCCTTTGTTTCAGATCTGAAAAAGTTACTGTCGCTGAGAGTTCATGTTTCTTTTGGTTTTGTTTTGTAGCTGTTTCAATCTGGTCTAACATTTATTTTCTGTATGTGCCTTGCCTTGTTCAGTTTGCATGTATACAGCTGTCTGGGTAGACTTTACTATACTCTTTACAGCAACCATACCTCTTACTGTTGCTTATTTTTACCATAACTCAAAACTACAATGTGACTTCAAATATGTATTTAGTACATTATTTTAGGACCTTCTGTGTAATTCTCAAAATTTCATTTTTACTTCCTAGGCTGGTATGCCTTTTATATACTCCATCTTTTGTTTACAAGAGGAAAAATTCTGATATTGGCTGAGTCTTTCCCATTGCCTGTGATAGTTTGTTTCATATTTAAAAAAAAAACAGATGCCAAGTTCTTTTAATCTAAAAATGATTAATTTCTCAATAGAACCTTTGCATGTGACCTTTTTCATTTTCTTGACAAAATGTGTTTTCCCCAATACATTTCTCCTTATCCTCCATCTTCTTTTTTTTGGTATATACTTGGCAGTTCCACAATGCAGTATGTGATTCTTACTTACATGAAACACCTGGGAGTCAAAGTTAAAGAACCTCGGAACCTGGAGCAGAAGCGTGGCCGTATTGGTTTCTTGCCAAAGATAAAGGTAGTAGTGTTGTGGCCAGAGTGCATTTGTTTAAAGCTGCCCGGCATGGGTGCTTCGTTAGAATTCAAAATCCACTTTTGCATGACACATTAGAAGTTGGTATGATTTTACAGTCTTCATTGCTACATCAAGAGGATCTGGGATTACTGAGCTGCACAGAAAACCTAGCAGTTGAAATTGGGTTCTACTTACGTTTTCAGACACGTGAATTAGAAATGAATCGCCTTCTTTCTTCCTTTTTCTGTACGCCTAATTCTAACTGCTTGTTTTTCACAGTTCTAGCCTTATTAAAACTGTGTGTGTGAGATGTTTCATATAATACAACCTTGAATCACTTGAGGATTTCATTAAGGCTAATCAGGCTGTTGGCCTGTATACTTTTACTTTTCTTCTTGAGAAACTTGCCAAAAACTCATGCTGCATGATGCAGGAAAGCTACTCTTCCTGCCACCCACACTTTCCCAGTTATAGAATTAATTTTTCCACCAAAACTCCATCTCTGTGGGTGTGTTCAGTCGTCTCCCACAGTATGGAGGTGTATCTGGTCACAGTAGCTACTTACTTTCATCAGGATTCCAGCTTCCTTTGAAATGTTAAGACTGTTATGAGCAGTTCTGCACTGACAGTGCGAAAAGGTTAGATCGAGTGCTTGCAACCTTTCTGAAGTGGTAAGATAAGTTGTATTTCTCTGTCCCAGATTAGAGTCTGTATGCTTGTGGAGGTTTGGAGTCACAAGATGTTGTGCCTTAGAGAAACAAGGTGCTACTGGCCGCTGTAAAATTGGTCTCTTACCCTAGGGAGGAGAGTGGTTTCTAGCTCCTGCTAAGTTAAAAATGGGGTGTGTGAGTTTTTTTGCTTATAACAGATATATCACTTAAGACACTGTGGCTCCCTGCTGCTAACCTTGTTAGACACCACTCATACTCTGTCCGTAGGCAGTCTTTGCCTCTGATGCTGTAGGATCTTGACCTCTCAATAACTTGTTAGAAATAAAATTCTTTTGTACCAAACTCCTGCAGTTTTAAAGAATTAGTCAATATCTCAGTAAATAACTGAATTTGAAGAAATGAGTGATCTGTTTGCTTTGCTTTTCGTTGTTGTATATTAATTGCAGCAAAGTATCAAGAAAGAGAAAGAAGGAGAGGAAAAAGGAAAGAGAAGAGGCTTTCCTAATATTCTGGGCCCACCAAGGAGACCGAGTCGACATGATAGCAGTGCAAGTATGTCAGACAAGGAAATACATGTTCCCTAACTGTTGGTCTGAAAGCCAGATAAAGTCTGCTGTCTTTTAAAAATCCATACATATGCTAAGAAGACTCAGTAAACTTTTTGTTTTTAAAACATGGTTTTGGAGACATACAAACCTAATTTTGTCCTGAAATGCTTCCTCTCTTCATTGCTGAAAACAGGTAAAAGCTCTTTCAGCAATATAATGGCTCTGTGTTTCTTTAGTTGGCAGAGCCATGGAAATGCAGAAGCCCCGCCATCCAAAGCACTTACCTGCAGCATCTTCTGTTAGCCCAGAGCCACCAGATTCTAGCAAGATGCGCCAGAGTGGATCCTCCAGTGATGGAACAGATGCGCCATACCCACCTGCCAACCCAATGTCTCCTTTGGCAATGGGTCCCTTTTCCTCTCCAGAGGGAAGCAAGGACAGCGAAACAGGTAGGATGATACTACCAGAGAGGAATGATTAAAGATTGCGTTGTGAACGGGATATGCAAAGCACAGTTCTGATGCAACAAATTTGACAAATTAGGAAATGTTTTTATATCATTAGACACGATCTTCCTTGTCTTAGTCATCTTTTCTGCCTTAGTCTCTGGTTCAAATTAGGAAATCTTATCATGGCCAGAAATTGTTGTTCAGTGGGTTCTATTACTGTCACATTGGATCATCTAACAGGAAAAAAACCAGTCTCAGGTGCCTGCTTTTGTACGCACAAGTCAGTGTCATCTGGAAACGTTTCTCACTGGGATTTTTCCTACCAACCTAGGAATTCAGTTCCTCCAGCTCTAAGCTGAAATGAGGCTGTGAATCAAGAGACTATGAAGAGGCTGTAAGTTCTCTAATGTACTCTAATTTGGTACGGTTCTTGACGTTTCGTACTTATTCTCTGTTTAGGTTTGAAGCAGACTGGAGAAGCTCCACCTGCTAATGACTGTATAGATGGCACACCCCGCACGCCTAATAATACCTTTGAATTCCCATCTCCTTTGGAAAACTTGCAGGAGGAGGAGGGAGAATCAGAGAGGTAACTATGGTGCCCTGGTTGCTTGAGCCTTGGAAGAGAGTCGATGTGACAACGGCTGTTGGATCTTAGTCCATAAAACTATTAGTGATAACATTTGTATTGAATATTATTGGTAGAAGTAGGAAATGCTGGTCTGTGTCTGCTACTGTGGTAGTACTAGAAAACTATATATCAGGAGGGTGAGGCTGACAGATGGACAAAAAGTTCTAGTTAGGAGATTAGGCCTTTACTCTGAAGTTATGCTGAATGTCAGAGTGGGGTGAAAGTCTTGCATGAGCTTCCCTAATAATTTCTTTTGTTCTTTGCAGAATGGTTGACATGGGAACACCAAAGCCTTTTCGCAAGTGAGTATGCTTATAAAGGTTTGAACTTCACTGAATTTGTTTAGATTTTAATAGGTTATGAAGTAGAACGCAGTAGTGTTCACTGATCTGAGCCAGTACAATTGTCTGCGTGATCTTTCCTTTTCTTAAATAACGCATATATGAAATGAGACACTGGCATCCGTATATAGGACGGGTGGAGTGAATCGTATGCAGATAAGCCCTTTGATCTATGAGTGAAATACAGTGATTGTTGTATCTACTGATTTGAATTGATGGGTTAGATTTCTACATTTTCTTTTTAAATCTCTGTATTGCTGTTAGCTCTGTATCTTCAGATAGATGGAGGAAAGAAATTGTAACCTGCCCTTTCACCGACTTGATATTTGACTTCAAGCAAATTATTTTATCTGTATCATTAAAAGGAGGGTTATGGAAATACTGTAAGAACAGATATTCACTCTTAGTTGTTCTGTAAAGGGCAAAATTAGAAAATGTGCCTATAGATTCAGACATCTGTCAGCCTCCAGCTGTTATGGAGAGCATATTCATAATGCTTTACAACTGATATATATACTTAGATTTTTCTCTTCTTTCTTCCTTACAACTATGCCTAAAATGGGAAGTATCTGACATATTTTTTCATTTTAGGATGGACAGTGTTGGTTTCGCAGATGTACAAAGTGAAGATGAGCTATATGATTTTGACATGGACATGGACCCTCCCAACTGGCAGCAACTTGTGAGCCGTGAAGTGTTGATGGGGCTGAAACCGTATGAAATCAAGCGCCAGGAAGTGATTAATGGTGAGATGGATATTTTTTCCTAGCTCACCAAGCACAAAGTTGAAACCTGTCCTCTGGAGCTCTGAAGTTCTTAAATTTTAAAACTAAGTCTTTCTTCACTGATCTGCTCAAAGTGGTGGCCATCTATTGCTTCTGGTTTGCAGAGTTTGTGTGTATGAAACAACTTCTTGTTACTGAAAAATATCCTCAGATGAGACTGATCCAGTCCTTAGAAAAGAAATAAACAATATTAAGTGGTTTTACACTGAAAGGCCAGTTTGCAATATCATGTTCTATAAAAGAAAGCAAGAGGCACTGTCTAGACCGTTGGAAAGCACATGATACAAATGGAAAGCTACTACCAAACTTCATCTTCAAAGCTTCGTTTCAATTTCAGGTCTTGCAATCCTGCAGAACACTCTGTGTGGCTATATGAGCTGCTAAGAGCTCACTGTTTGTTTGGGGTAAATTATGAGTCACGAATCAATTGGTTTCTGTGTTCTTTCAAACATGGAAGTATAGTGGAGCATGGCTCCATTTTGGAGCAAGCTGGAATATGGACCAGCAAGGGAAGTGTTGGTGAGGGAGACTTTTCTAAGTTCATACATCTGACTTCTGTTTGCTTCACATTTGGATCCACGTTGCCACACCTCTTTAAGTAGGTAGTTACAATCCTGCTTTTCCCTCTCTCTTCAGAATTGTTTTACACTGAGAGAGCTCATGTCCGCACGCTGAAGGTTCTGCATAATGTCTTCTACCAGCGAGTCACCCGGGAAGGGATCCTGAACTCCAGTGACAAACGGAAAATCTTTTCAAATCTGGAGGATATCCTTGGGCTTCATGGTAAGAGCAGCTGAGATGCCTTTCAGCTTTGCATTCTCAGCTGGAATTCTGGATACAAATATCTGAAAAATTTAAGCAAGTTGACCCTGAATCAAGAGGCAACCTCATACAACACTTCAGATGAAAAAGAATACTACAGCTGTTCTTCCTTTTGCACACAGTTTTTCTATTTCTGATTTACAAAGATATTTTGATAAAAAATGGATGTGTCCAGTGTTTCAGATACTTGCTTTTTCTTATCTGTGTACACAGACTCTTTTGTGCTGATTCATGCTTTGATAAAAGGAGCAATGCTTTGATGAATGGTCTTTATGGGTCAATGTTCAAAACGTTACAACTGTTGTTGAAGAGAATATGAAAACAAATTTGAAAAGATTTGATGTCCTGCAGGTGGTTTTGATGGGCAGCCCTTCCTAATTGTTTAGAGAAAGGACAGTTCAAATGAATTCAAAGAATCAGAATGTCAGCTCTGCCACTGAATAATCAGTTGTATAATTTTATGCAGATGGCTTAAAAGATAAAGATAAGACTGGAAAGGTTCTTAGGGGTCATGTGAAGACAGGTGAGGCAGAAGTGCAAGGGAGTTATATAACATTTTCTTAGATATTCTGCTAAATTTATTATGTTGCAGGACACTTTTCATTTTTTTTTTTTAATTTAATTGAAATTATTGCAAATCTAGTCTGTTCCTAGAATAGCTTTTATTTTAAAATAAATGCTGAAAATTAAGCAAACAATTTGAGCAGTATTAATAAAATTTACTTTTTTTTTTTTAAAGTTGCTTTGAATGATCAGATGAAAGCTGTCCGAAAAAGGAACGAGACTTCTGTTATTGACCAAATTGGGGAAGACTTGCTTTCCTGGGTAAACCCTTTTTTGCTTTCTTGTACTTGAAAATAATGCTTCATAGAATGACAAACAGAGTCAGAGGTTAGTGAAGGTAATTCCCAGCTAATAGGAACTGAAGTTCTTAGAGTTGTCATTTCTATGGACACAACACAGAGCTAGAGAATGAGGGATGAAGGAAAGCAAGAAGAATTCATAGGATTTTCATTTGGCTAGAGATAAGAGTAAGTTAAGGAAGAAAAAATAATTTTGTTACGGTGTGTGGGTAGAGTAGAAAGGTAGTTTTGGAGACAAAGTTGAGAGTAGGATTTTGAAAAATGTAATAGCACAATTTATTTCAGTAACAGTGAAATACAAGTCTTGTGTTGCCTGTGGTGCAGTTAAAAGATAGTTAAAAATACTGGTTTCCAATCCTAGAATATACATAGCTGAACCTTTTCAAATTTATAGCACTGTTGCAGGCTTCCTTTCTGAGATCCAAATGACAGGAGCAGAAGTGATGTAGATTCTGTAAAAAAAAAAAATTCTCTCTCAGGAATCTCCCAGTTTGTTGTTTGTTTTCAAGCCTACTTAATTCAGAATTCAAGATTGATCTGCTTATTCTTTTCAGCTCTTCATGCAGAAGTGTCTTGTGGTGGTTTTTTTTGTATTCCACTATTTGTCTAGTATTCCAGAAAAAAAAGAAGAAAATGAAAATCAGATGTGGCTGGTAAAGAAACACCTCCAACCCTTTCAGTTCTCCTGTGTATTATGAAAAGCAAGAAAATACTTGCTAGAGCAAGCTAGACCTTAAGCTAATAGTTATATGCCCTTGCGTAGTGTTCTGGCTAAGTGGCTATCTTCAAATCAGGATCTCATTCTCCAGAGTGAGTATTTTCAGGAGTTACTACGCTGCATCACAGGCTGGGTAGCAGGAATAGGAAGAGTTGCAGTTGCAGTGACAGATTAACCATCTGTCATCTGCGGCACATTTCTCAGCCCTGCTCATGGCTATCGTTTCGCCTGGCCATGTCTTTTTAATACTTTTGCTTAGGAAATAAGATGTTATGTTATATTCTTGTGTTTAAGCATGGGTGTCCCTGAGAAACAAGATAACCTTTGGTCTTGGCTTTGCTGACCAACAGTCTGGTAAATAATCCCTTGTCATTCATCTGAGTGCAGTTTTTTCTGCTCTCCTTATGGCTGACAGTAGAGACATGGCACTGTATTCTCTCTCTGAATCAGCAGTGCATTTATGGAAAGGATTGGATGTGCTAGGGCTGGAGACAGGAGAACTGTAGAGTTTGAGATGTAAAGGGGTTCCTCAGTAGACTGGGAAGACAAGGCCTTAAAAACAGGATGGAAATTACTTCTCATATTTTGCCAGTAATTCCTTTCTTCCCTGACGAGACCAGTTCTGCTACATGGCTATATGTCTGTTGAAAGTGGCACATGCTGAACTTGAGTCTGTCTAAATTTGGCTTTCTTGGCTTTCTGGCACAGTTTAGTGGACCAGCAGAGGAGAAGCTGAAACATGCAACTGCCACTTTCTGCAGTAACCAGCCCTTTGCTCTAGAGGTCATCAAGTCACGCCAGAAGAAGGACTCTCGCTTTCAGACTTTTGTGCAGGTGAATTTTATACAAGGGTTTGAGTTGCCTGAGGATGTGGCTGGTGGCCAGCATAGCGTAATGAATGGTTGTAGATAAAGTTATTGTAATTAATGACTTCATGTCTAACATTGTCTTCAGATTGGGATCATTTCCAATACTGTATTTATCTCTGCTAATAATTTCTGGAAGGAGGAACCTTTAATTCTGGGCAACACAGAATGTTCTGATAGAACGCAGGAAAGCACATGCTCTCCCAGGCAGGAGATGGCATCTCACTTGAGGTGGCTGTTTCCCAAGGATGAGTACTTCTTGGGGAAAACTGCTTATAGTAGTGCAGTTTTGATGCATGCCACAGGCAGAAGACAGATGATACATATCTATTCTGCCTGCCAGGAAAGGGGCTTGAATATATGTGGCATTTGGAGGAGAGAACATTATCTTCATTACCACAGGCTGGGAAGAACTCTGGTAATACAAGGGTTGAGGTTACGTTGAAAAATGTACTGTAGTTTTGCTATAGCGTGAAAGCCTAAACTGATGTCTTCCCTGTATGGCAGTGACTGAGATTGATTGGAGATGGTACCAGGCCTCTGTGAAGTAATGAGGGAAGGAAGCCGCTGCTTTTGTGATGAGCCTTTCCTATATGTAATTGCAAATGGAGAGGGGGTGTGTTGTCTGAATGATAGATCTTGGCATTTCTTGTCTTGTATTTAATTACTGGAAAGTAAAGTAATAGACATTTATGTGGTGAATAGATGTTACACGTTCAGGTAATTATAGTCTTAATAAAAATGACAAATGTAGTTATTGTGCTGTTTAATTTTAGGATGCTGAGAGTAATCCACTGTGTCGCCGGTTGCAGCTGAAGGATATCATTCCCACAGAGATGCAGAGGTTGACTAAGTACCCCCTTCTGCTAGATAACATTGCTAAGTACACAGGTAAAGCCTTTCCACTAGAGCTTGTGCATGCATCTCTGCAGGTTTTCTAGGCAAATGTGATTCCAAAGCATGTGTTGAATAACAGTTCAATTCTATGGGTCACCATCTGTTTTCATTGTGACCTCCCTCCTGCCTTCCACAAAGGAGGGCAGGTTAAAAAAAAAAAAAAATCTCGTCTTTGTTTCTAAATTAAATTCATTTTCCTTCTTAGGAAAAAACCAGGAAATTCAATGTGAAATAAGTGAATGACAGTCTGCATTGGGTTGTAGTGTATGTAGAGTGCGATTATAATCATTTAAATGTAGTTTTAAAAAGTTAGGGGAGGAGAATGCTGAAGTTTTGAAGATAAACCAAACCGCTCTGCTTATGAAAGTTACAGGCAAAACAACTTAATTTACTATTAGCTTTTGAAGAAGGAAACCAGGAAACCTGTCTCCTCTCCACCCTCCAGTTCCTAGCCTGTTTCTTAGTTTTACACTATTACTGTTGTTAACGGTTTTTTATAATTATGATAACTAAACAGAAGTGAAGAAAATATTTTCTCTGCACCCTTATATTTCTAATTGTATAAGAGTATGTGATAATGTCAATAGCTGGAATTACATTCAGAAGAAAAAGAAACACAGGAAAAAGAGCGGGTATTGTGTAACTCTTCCTTTTTACATGCTCTTAGCAACCAAAACTTTAGGAATTTACTGAGAGGCAAGTTGCATTTGTGCTCTTGTTCTGAATAACCATTAGCATGCCTGTTCTTTCTGTAATTTTCTAGATATATTCCTTTCTACAGTCTTGAATAAGGAAATAACTAGAAAGAATTCAGCCGCTAAAGAGGATATTCTATTTGTTTCAATAAATTGGTTTTCAATAATAAATATGCTCTGATAAAGATTTTTTCCTTGAATTCAGGACATTAAGATAGCTAAATCAAACTATTAAGAGAAAACACATTTAAGCGAATTCTAATTTCCATGTAGATGCATTTGAGAGAGAAAAAGAGTAAGATCTCCAATAACAGAAAACCCTAATCGTCCATTACTAACATAAAAATGCAAAGAATGAAGAATCTAATAAAAACCTATCAAGTTATGCCATTGCTTAAACAAGCTTGGATAGGCAGGGCATACTTCTGAGTAAGGAAGAAAAAAGGGAAGTATTACAGAATCTAAGTAAAAATCATGTAGTGTCATGTAGTGTTAAGGCTTATGGCAAATCAACATGTTTCTTTAAGAAGAGAACAAAAAGCAGATAATACAGAACAAATTGATTTTTTTTTTTTTTTAAGGTCAAGGTTTTCTTGTTATCAACTAAGGGTGGGTTTTTTTTTTTTTTTTTTTAATCAGTCCTCAGTACTATTTGTTCAAAATTCCCAATATCTGGGAAAAATGTGCACTCAGAGTGCAATCTGACCTACACCCCTAAAGTCTGATCTAAAACAAGCTTCATATAAAAATCTTGGATGTTATCAATACAATGTCAACTAAGAATTTGAAAGAGATTGAACTTGGAAAGAAATACTTTCATACACAAGAGACACCAATAGAATCTTAATCTTCCTCATCTCTTGAATCTCTAAAGCACTACAGAGTGTTTTCATGTTCTTGCATGTTCATCCATGTTCAGCTAGGATGTGTTACATTACACAGAAATATGTTACAATATATATCCAGCATAACAGGCGAAAATATGATTAATAATACCACAGAATGCCTTTTCAGGTTTACTAGCAGATACCTGCTGCAGTGTAATTTCGTTACTCATAAAAAATATACTGCATTTACAAGTTCACTCTAATCATAATTAGGAAAGCATGTAATACTCCATTACCCTTGATGTACTTGTTTATTTGCCTGCTAACTAAATTCTTAATGTAGCTTGTGGTAGTGAGAATTGATGGAGTTCACTTGTGTCTATCTGCGTATGATCAAGTGACATTGACAAAATAACTCTTGTTTGCTCTTGCTGTAATAAAAGACTGTTTTTTATAATCAGGCTGCATGAATGTAGCCAGAGATACTTTTTTCCTAAGCTGTCAAAATAAATGCAGGCTATCTGGATGGAAAAAGTTATTATGTAACACATTTTTTTGATGTTTTGTGTTATGTTTCTTTCTCTGTTTCTCTCTCTTCCAAAATAAATAAATAAAAAGGATTGTGAGAAATGCAGAAGCCAGTAGTCAGTTGCCGAATCCTGGGACTTTGGCTAGCTGGCTGCGTGTGATCTTAAATATCTACCCCAAGACTCTATGATGTACCATGATGGAGTCTTATTAAACTTCATTAGATTTCTCAGAATATTTCTCAGATTGATGTTTGTGGAGTGAATGGTTATCACAAGCCCCTCAAAAAAGGGAGAGTGACAAGTGCTGTGCTGTGTACAGTGATCATCAGAGGCTAGTGTCTTGTGCAGAGCAGAATGGATTCTGTCCTGTCACAAATCTACTTTTGTCATTTCACCTTTGAAATGCAGTGCTTTTGTTGATAGGCTATTCTGAGAATTTAAGTTCTGTTTCTCAAATTTGTGGTCAGCAAACTGCACTAGATTTCTGACTTTTTCAACCTTTATTGGAAAGCATTACTACATTTCCTTTTTCTCTTGCAGAACTGCCTGAAGAGAAAGAGAAAGTGAAGAAAGCAGCAGATCATTGTCGTCAGATCCTTAACCACGTGAACCAGGCTGTCAAAGAGTCTGAGAACAAGCAGGTAGGAGGTGAACGGAGTGAGCATCAAGGGTTGGGGAAAAGAGGGTTAAAGGGCAACAAGATGTTTAAGGCACCTAGAGTCACCTAGTGACTTTATATTGTGCTTAAAGATGTTTTGCGGCACAGGTATTCTTGTAAGAGGAGGAATCCTGGGCATTTGGGAACGTGTGGAAGTACTCATGATTGCCTGCACTCTGATGCTAGTGAGTTTCGCTAATCAAAGTGACCATCTTCATTGCATTTTCTGCAGCATTTGGAAGATTATCAGCGTCGTCTTGACCTGTCCTACTTGAAGCAGTCTGAGGATCCCATGATGGATGAGTTCAGGGTGAGTGACAACATTGAAGCAATCTCTATGTAAATCGTGATTGCAACCCTGTTATTCAGTTTGTGGCTTTTTCTACTACAGTCTTCTGATGTACCATCAAATGGTCTTTGAAGATAAATATCTCTATACAAAAATTAAAACCATTAGTCTCAGAAATTTGAGTTTTGCTACCTTCCTGAAGATCTCTATGGGTATAATAACTTGGTTTCTTCACATAGAAGTGTTGATGAAGCTTGTAAGTTCTGTGCAACAAATCTTAATGGTCCTCAAGTTAATGCTTTTCTGTATCACAATAAGAGAGAGCTGGTGGACGATAAATCTTATTATGGATATATATCTCGCACGATCATGTCTTAGGTGTGCTGTTGGAATTGGGGAGGCCTCAAAGAGCCATGAGGTGTAGCAATGGAGTTGGCTTTAAAAGAAGAGCTTATACACAGGCTGATATGTATAGGAGATCCACAGGTCAGCCAAATAAAGTCTAAGTCCAGTGCTAAAAGTACTGTGTTCTAGGGCCCTGTAAATTCGTGCAGTTACATTAGTGAAGCTGGTTACTTGCTGTCAACATCCTTGGAGTAGGACTAACTTTATGAAATTTTCATGTTTCAGGGGAATGATGAGCACCAATAGGCACTTGCAACTTGAAACAAATCTTTTCTTTTTTCTTTCACACATGTTCCAAATAGGTAGCTTCTACACAAGGACTCTTCTCCATTTGCTTCTGCACCTTTTCCTCATGATTTAGTACTTTATCCCCAGTTCTTAATTTTTGCCGCTGTCTATTCCTCTGTCTTGTATGGATTCTCTGTTGTTTATTTATCACTTCCCTATCTTCTCCAAAGTCAGTGTGTATCCAAAGAAATTTTTATATGAAGACTCCTCTATAAAACTGTGTCATGTATCCTTCCACAAATAAACTTGCAAGCATTTAGTTAGGAAATGAAGAACTTACTGGCAGTTATGAAATCTTGCTGTCATTGATTGTAGACTCTGCGACTTGGAAGGAATGACTTGTGAAAATTGTCACTTCTGCTTGCCTGCAGATCTAAATGTCACAAGCACTGAAATGACTGAAGAATCCATTGACATTATAAAGTCCATCAGATCATTGGAATGATTTGTATATCAGTATATCATTTGTAGGCACACTTAACTTGCAAATCAAGTGCTGAAGTGTTAACCAGTTGTAATACTAGAACTCCAAACTTTCGATGGGATATTGGAAAAACTCCTCCTAGAAATCAGATGACATCCTAATGCCTTAGTAGCTTGACTTAGTAGAAAAACTCTCTACCCTGTGGCCCCAACATCTGCAAAAGAGCAGTGAATGAGGAAGAGTGATAACAAACACTTCTCACAAGATTTTGGCTTACAAGCATACCCTAGTCCTGCTACACATTTCTTTTACCAGACTGGGTTTAGCTGCTTGTCTCCAAACTGGAGTGCCCATTCTAGTCTTCCCTCTGACATTCCCATGCTTTACCATTACTTGGTTCCACAGAAATTTCATAGTGCTACTTTTTTTCTTTCCTCTGGTGACAGAACTTGGATCTAACGAAGAGAAAAATGCTTCATGAAGGACCTCTAATTTGGAAGGTTAATCGTGACAAAACTATCGGTGAGTCCTATTCCATCAACTGACTTAGTTGGGTTTGTGTGTGTTTGCTGAGAAGGAAAGAGAAAACATTTCTGCAGTTTCCAATTATGATTCTTACTGCCACCTAAAATAATGCCTGTGTGTTTCTCAGAGCTGATTAAATTATTCTTGTCAATTCTGAAATGTGCTGGAGTATCATTAAGGCCATGCAGGGACACAGCAGTCAGTCATGAGATGATCCAATTCCATCTGTAGCTTTCTGCTGTAGTTTTGATGAGGAAGATTTGCAAGCTTTGCCTAGAATGGCATAGCACTGATTACTGCCTCTGCATGAGTAATCAAAAATGCAGCCTTTTTCTTTCTGCAGGGGTGTGATATAAAACTATGAATCTTTAACTCATTCTGGGTTCTTTTGCACTCTGTGCAGATCTCTATACTCTGCTTCTGGAGGACATTCTGGTGCTGTTGCAGAAACAAGACGATAAACTGGTACTGAAGTGTCACAGTAAAATCTTGGCATCGACAGCTGATAGTAAACACACCTTCAGTCCTGTCATCAAATTGAACACCGTTCTGGTTCGTCAGGTGGCAACAGGTCAGTGTAACCAATTGAGAAAGCAAAAGAGGAAGCCAAAAATGAAGATTAGATCAGTTGAGGATAGATGTTTTTGTCTAGGGTTCCAGAGTAGTACATGGAAAAATGCGTAGGCTTAATTCTTGGTTGTCCAACATCTTGCTTTGTATGTATGAGCTGTTTAACTTCTTTGCATCAGTAATAGGCATGGCTTGAGTTTTAAATAGACGTCTAAATTAAAGTACTCTGGTTGTATTAGATGAAAGGTACTCTAGAAATTATTAGGAGGGAGAAGAGGAGAAATAAATCTGTTTCAAAATGGTTTGGGCAGCAACGGCTCTTTTCTTTCAGGACTAATAGACAAATTTCCCGATGGGGAAAGATCAATGTTTGTATATTATAGTGTTGGAGGGTTTTCTCATGAGCTCTTCTTTCATTGCCTCTGGTTGGGGTTATGCCCAGTTTTAGGAATTTTCAGAAAGCTATGTGGGACAAGGCATCTAGTTAAATTCTTCCTTCCCTGTGTTGCTTCAGATAACAAAGCTTTCTTCGTCATCTCCATGTCAGAAAATGGCGCTCATATTTATGAACTGGTGGCACAGACTGTTTCAGAAAAGAATGTGTAAGTAATTGGTTCAGCTCCATCTGCTGCTTGATTTGTTGTACTTGAGAGATCTTTTACATCTGCTTGCCTGTAGTAACTGTGCAGGTGTCCATGAATTACCTGAGTTTCTCCTCTAAGTTTAGCTGAAAACATAGCTATGTTGGCCTGTGTAGGAAGTATCCAAGGATAGTCTCTCCCAACACACATATGTTAGTGAGCGTATGTGTGTGGATATACACGCATGTGTATGAAAAAAAACACCCCATACATACACTCAGTGCTTCTGTTGTTGTTGCTTGCTGTCTGGCTCACTCCAACCCCTTTTCTGACCTCAAAAATGCTTTTCTTTACCTTTGCAATTCTGGTCTTATGTGACTGACTGCCAGATAAGTAACTGAAATAGTCCTGCATCTTCACGCAGAACTGGTTAGCCTTGCAGACTTTGATACTAGCATCTTAAGCACTCTATTGCATTAATTTGATTCCCTAGCTCAATGCTTTTTTTCCTCTTTGGTAGAAATGCTTTTCTTCTAAAGTATAAGCAGGGCATAGGCTTATTTGTATGATACATAGCAACTGTTCTAGTGTGTCATATATGAAACTCTTCAGTAATATGTGAAATGTTACTTAATGCTTTTGTATGTATTTATATATAAAATAACTGCCTCACCTGACAACTCCTGCTAAGGTCCTGTCATTCATTTCCTTCTGCTGAAGAGTATCCTGGTGAGGTGAACATTATGCTGTGGTGCTTCACTTGTGGCTGCAAGGTATTGCTGAAGAATTGAATGTAACAGAATTAAAAAAAAAAAAAAAGAAAGAAAAAAAGATATTTCTGTTGATAAGAAAAGCAGTAATAATATTAGCTGGATTTAAGAGGTGTTAAATAGAAAAGTATTCATTATGCTTCACATCTTGCATGTTTTTATTTGATGCTTCTACTGCAGATGGCAGGACCTTATCGCTCAGATGGCAGGGACCGTGAAAATGGGGCGTGCCAGAAGAGTGATCCCATTACCACAGTCAGGACCTGGCGAGTAAGTAAAAGTAACAGGAGAAAGAAGGGCTGTTTTTTTTTTTTTTCCAATACCCCTTCTTCTGCTCAAAGATTGCCAGCCAAAGCACGGATTCTCATGCAGCGATTCAGATATATGTAACTAAAAGAAGGTGTTCATTCTTTCCTCCCTGCAGAGAAGAGCGTGAAGAAGAGGAGCAGCAGAAGCTCAAAGAGCAGCATGACATTCCTGCCAGTAGTCTACAAAGTCCAGGTAAAACAGTGGTCCAGGTAAATGGTATCGGTAGATTTGCTACATGGAGTGCAAATGTGTCAAGCCATATTTGGTAAAGCCATATTCCTTGTGGCTTGCGGATCTTTTGGTAGCTTTGACATTTTTCTGGAGAGGAATGATTTCTTTGCAAGTCATGTAGAGAAGTGGTACTGAACCTCTTGGAAACGTACTTCTTACTATTTCCATCTGTTTTATAAATTGCTAGGAAAAATTCTTTTTTTCCCCTGGAAAGAATTGGCCTTTTACCAAGCCCATGTTCAAGAACTGCATTTTTTAGTGTTTTCAGAGATTTCTGTGTAAAGCAGAATTTTCTGCGGTTTATCATCGTATTTGACATAGTTGTGTAACCTGAATGTATGTTTTCTGTTTACTAGATAAAGATTTGGGCCTTGAATCTCCCTTAATACTGAATGCTCAGTCTTCTTCGCCCATCATGTCTGAAAAGTCCAAGGTAGAAAGTCTTCTTGTGTCAGAAAGACAGTTTGATAAAGTGCAGCAGGCAGACCTGACACTTAAAGATTCCTCTGCATGCTATGAACACGCAACCACCAGTTTACCTTCGGTGTCAGAAGGGCAGTGGGCATTGGATGCATTAAGGAACTGTAAGTATCTGTGGGCAGTGTCTGGGGGGATGTGATTTGGAGATGGAAATTCTTAGGTCATCCATCTAAATCAGTGAGCTAAAATAAAATCTAAAGCCCATTTCTATTAAATATCAATTCTCTCTGTGCTGTAGATCACAGCATAGCAAAACAAAATGGATCTGACAGCAAGGAATTCTAAGTTCTGAATTCATATACTGGCCCTTTCTTTGGCTTTAGGCATCTCATTGTTTTTCTGTGTTTTTCTCATGTATAAAATGATGGTGGTAATGAATTGTTACTGTCCATGAAGTGCTTTGATGACAAAATGATACTGCAGAACTTTGTGCAGTGCTGTACAGTGCCATTGCTAGTGAGCAGTTTTTTAAAAGGCAATGCAGTTAGCCTGTGGACTTATTTTCATAGCACTGGAGCAGAATAGGAGAGGTTGCATGAGTTGCAGAATATGATTTTACATTTTTTTTGTAAAATCCTGCAAACAAGATTGGATATATGTGAGCTTGACAAAGTCTACGTTCAGATTTTCTGAGGACTTGGGAGGTGGTTAGGGGACTTGGGCATAATTAGATCAACACTTGTGTGTGTTGAAAAGAAATTTTCCTGATGGACAGATTATTCTGTAAAATTGTTTATATAAGATTTTTAATCACTTCCTCTGTTTTCTGGTATACCTCCTTTCAGAGGAAGAATGCAGGGCTGTGCAACCTACTTGATAAGATCTAGCAGTGCAATTCCTAAATATAACTTCCTAAAATTTGAATGAATTAATTAATCCGTATATCTCTTCTTGGCAACTGTGAAAGGGACACAAAGTCCCTCAATTGTACTTGGAGGGAATAGTCTGTATTGCTTCTCTGTGGGTCATTTGCTTTTAGCAAAATGCAGAGCATTCATATCCTTGGCCCGAATTCCCTCTTCCATCTCTCTGTACAAGTAATGACAGTTCTCTGCAATCTAATAGTTTATCTTGGATCTTTTGATCCACTTATGCTTCTCCTTATAGAATTCAAAGTCCTTTTCTAATTCTGAATGCTGTACAAATGTTCTTGGTACTTGTTTTCAGAGACCAGTGATAAGATAATCTTAGTCTGTGGGGTGTGTAAAGATAGTTTTAGTGACCTAGCACCTCATGACTATTCAGACTTAGAAGAGCAGCCCTCTAACAGCAGCAGTGGGTCACTCGCATTTTGACAAGAGCCTTCCACTTAGATGAGTGACTGTTCTGTTGTATGAAATCATAGTTTATCTTGGGTGTTACATGAGCATTATATGGTGAGAATGAACAGTGTTCTTATGCTCTTGACAGTATCATATTTTTGTTTTGAACAATGTGTCCTTATTATGAAGTGTTTGGTTGGGATAATTTGAGAGCTAAAGGAATGTGGGTTGAAGTTCAAACAAGCATAAATTTGCATGAAATTTTAGGGAAAATGTCTTCAATTTTTTTGATCTGTCATTTCAAAGTTGAGTGGAATATTCGCAATATACTTGTTTCTCAGGTGGGAATCCCCTACTACGGCCATAGTTTTTAGTTCATTTGAGGGAGTGGGTAAAAGCCGGGCACTCATCTGCACTCCAACTCGCTTGCTGGATAATTTCAGTAGATGATTTCTCTGTTTTTCCCTAAGCAAGATGGAACTTGTACTGACATGTTTGCTCTCACTTGTAAGGTAAAAGAGTAAGGCTTCAGACCTTATATATTTCTTTTTATCCCTATTTTTCCTACCAAGAGCAATGAGAGGGATGGCGGCTATGAGACACACCATTTTGAAAGGGTGACCTTTATGTCTAGTTTAATCACTGTTAGGGAGGTTATGGTCTGTGAACGTTATGTCTACTTGCAGTGGGCTTGCTGAAACAATTGTTGGTACAGCAGCTTGGCTTTTCTGAGAAGGGGATTCTTGAAGACCGGCAGCGCTTTCCCAGGTTTAGGACAGTTTCTCAAGAAGCCCAAACGGAGAGTGGAAGTGAGCCTGGACTACAGCACTCTGACAATAACAAATTTCACCAGCCTGGAACAGACAGAATGCTTCCGAGAACCGGAACTAATGAGTCTACAGCTAGTTATGGTCTCCGGACTTCAGCTGAATCGCCAGCTTCAGGGGATGCCATGCAGCTGATAGTGAGAGACCCCAGATCAAGTAGTAACTTAGCAATAGACCGCATGAGTATGAATCTGGAGATCTCAACCACAGAGCTGGAAGGGGTGGGTGCTGATGAAGGTGGGGAGCATTTTTTTGATGCTCGAGAAGCTCACAGTGATGAAAATCCATCTGAAAGTGAACTAATGGAAAGGAAGGAGGAGGAGGATGTGCAAATACGGATCTCAGGTGAGCATATTTCATTCACTCGTTGCATGATAGTCTGTCCAGATTCGGTATTAGGGACTTGAGTTCAGTTTTAAATAGAAGATACTAAAGAAAATAACAGTAGGTTTTGCTCTCTTGCTTAATTGGTGTAGGACATTTAAAGTTAACTCTCAGTCCTTGACAGTCACTTTAGCCCTGAAAAGGGCTGTGCAAACATGTACCTAATGAATTCTCTATTTTATGAAAGGAGAAGCTGAAACACTGTGGGGTTAATACACTGTGACAGACTGTAATTACAAAGGCACAGGCACGATGCAAGCTCTTGATTGCAGTTGCCACTGGACCAATTTATCTCTCAACTGACTGCTAGGACCTGTAGGAAAAACGTTTTCCCTGAACGCAAAGCAATTCCTTAGTCTGTACACACAGAGCCCCCATGACTCATGCTATTTTGTAGATACTGCGTTGGCTTCTCCTGATCAAGCTTCAGAAAAGAAACTTACAGTTTAGCTTTGCACTGTTAATTGTCTCCTGCGACCTTATCCCAGTCTGAAGCTCTTAAAAGCTTGTTGTTGTTGTTATTTCTATTATTATTACTGCATATTTTTATTTTATTGTTGTTGTTATTTCTATTATTATTACTACTTATTACATTTGAAAGAGTGGTCAAGCCTTGGAACAGGCTGCCTAGGGAAGTGGTGGAGTCACCATCCCTGGAAGTATTTCAAAGACGTGTAGATGAGGCGCTTAGGGACATGGTTTAGTGGGCATGGTGGTGTTGGGTTGACGGTTGGACTCGATGATCTTAGAGGTCTTTTCCAACCTTAATGATTTTATGATTCTATGATTCTATATGCTATATTTGGCAGTTACCTGAGCAGCATCTCAAAGTACATCTATGCTAGCCTTCAAGAAGGTTGTAGAACTGTTAACTCAGCAGAAAACTAGCTCTAAGACAGCAGCTGTGAGCACTTTCATGGGACTTCGCGTGCTCTGAGGTTGGAAAGATCTGTGATTTTGATCAGCCGACATGGTGACACTGCACTAAATTTAGCACACAAGTTGAGGTTTATCTCGTGCATGTTGTAGTAAAAGTAGCTACGACTAAGTAGATTCTATATGACCATTAGTCTTGAAATCTCTTATCCATATATATGCTTTTATTTAAAAATTGGAATCTATCAATGTGAGCAAGCCGATTTGTGACTGAATGCTGCCTTCCAAGTACATATTGAAAATCATTTTTCTTTCCCTGAATTACTGAGACATTTTAAATTATTAAAGCTGCGCCAACAACTTGAAGCATCTAATTTATTTGTCACCTCTTACATTGTTTACTTTCTTAACTGTGCGGGGACATCAAAATTAGATTGACCTGGTTTTAGTCAATTCTGCCTCCACATGCTAGCTTTTCTGTAATACTGTAGAGAAATTATTTAATATAATCCTATTGCTAGGGGCAGGTTGTGAAAGCATTTCTATCTATAATTGCTTTATCTTTTAAGATATCATCAGCAAGCTAAATTTTAAAGCTAACCCATCTAAAAGCATCTTCAGTACCTTAGCTAGTTGGTGGAGGTTAGAAATCTAGCAGTCTGATTTGTCAGGTACTATTAGTGTAAGTGCAGGATTTTCAGACACCGTAATACAAACATATATTTTGGAAAAACAGGAAAGTAGGTGATTAGCTCATCTAATCATGTAATTCTCAAACTGCAGTCCAAAAACCAGCCGTGATCTCTGAAGCCCGATTCAGAACCAAATTAGTCTGGTCTGATATAATCACTCTTCTGTGTAGTGTTCATAAATGCTTTTTCTTACCCATTTTAAAATGTCTCAGGAGATGGGCCTTTCACCACTTATCTTTCTTAAAGTCTGGTTATACTGTCTACAGTTCAATGGTTCTTGGTGATTATTGAGCTGGAGGTGTTAGTAAAAAGCTGTTCTCTTAACAGGAAATTATTTGATCCTTGATGGATATGGAACAGTGCAAGAGAGCTCCACAGATGAGGAGGTATCGTCTCTAGTTCTCCAGTGCACTGCAGGTGGCCACACTTCTTTGGACTCTGCACAGCAGCAGCCACTTTCCCCACGGGACACCCAGTCGGATGGAGGAAGCTCCCCGTTTGCTGAGGAGATGATGGCCTCACGCTGGGGGGGAGTGGAAGAGTCCTGCTCATTTGTAGCAAGCCCTCACTTCTCTATAGAGTCGCGTGTGCAGATGATGCAGTATATTCAGAAGATAGAGGATGACCTTGAAAAGTTAAAGGTATACTATGTTTCTATTTGCAGTATCAGGGTTTTCATATTCCTTCGGTTTTGTTTTAGAAAAGAGCTTGAAAATAATTTTGAGGGGGAAGAAAGGCAGCCATGCCTTTTTTTGTCTTTGGTTCTTATCTCTGGAAGCTTTTTGAAGCAGAAACTTTGTGCTGTTTTGCTTGCATTAAGTTGTGGATTACGAGAAGCAAATAGTTCTGCTAGAGCTAGTGGGTGCGTATATTGCTTTCATTTGAATTTGGAGAGATTCCTGAGGGATAGGACAAAACTGAGTCTGCAACAATGGAGTTTTGAAGGGGCCACTGACCTAAGGAATATGAATTCCTGACATAAAAAGACTTACCAAATCTCTTGCATACTGCTGCTAACGTCAAATGAAGGTGCTAAGTTGTGGTAGATCAATAATGAGATTTTTAGCCTCACTATATTCAAAATTATTTTTTTGTATGTGGTGGGGATTCTCTACACATAATAGCCATTGCTGTAGAAGGTTTATAGCATCTTGATGTATGAGATACACTAACATGTTAAGTCAGTAGCCAGCCTTTAATTTAACTGAAATCTGAAAAGAAAGTGGAATATTGCATGCAAATGGAAGGCCTGATAAAGATGCTGGTAAAGGAGTTGAGATCCACTGTAGCAACATGGGTGATTCCAGTCCACTCACATGCAGTGAAACTTCTCTTTTCCCATTTGCAGCCCTCTTTGTTCACTTGGTAATTATAGAAAGAGCCACTTGAGTTTTGGGTTTTCTTTTTTTGTTTGTTTTGTTTTGTTTTTTAGGAGGTTGAGGAAGACTACACCGTTCTCCGACGCCAAGGGCTGGCTGGATCAGCCTCCACAGGAGAGCACTCAGGTATGCAACCACACTGTCTGTAATTGGTAGCATATACCACGTTGGCTTCAGACATTAAACAAAGAGCACAAAGCCAATTACTAATGTTTCACACACACACAAAAAATGTTTCACCTACTTCAGCAGCTCTCACAGGGCTGAGACCATGCTGATTCCAAGAAGGGTCGGTTGAATCCATTGAGACTCACGTGTGCAGAGGAGCTTGTTCCTTCCTCTGAAAAGGTTGTTTGTAAGCTGTCTCACCCCTACCTGCCAAAGACCTACACCTCAGGATGTACAACTTCTCTTTCAAAGAAGGCTACATTGATGTAAAGTCCCAAAGGAAGATTTTTGAACATGTAAAATGATTACAGTCTCTTTTCTTTCTCTGGGGTGTCTCTGGCGCTGTGTAAAATGGTTGCCATGGGTCCCTTTAAATTGGCCTTAGGCATCTTAGATGTGTAATTGCTGGAATTACTAACAAAGGTCTTAAGGTTAAATGGGTGTGCTGTCTCTCACATAACACGCTTTCTGTTCTGGTACTAGTGTTCAGAAACGTTAGGCATTCATCTCTCATTGCAACTCCCCCTCACCACCCTCTTTTTTTTTTTTCTCTCTTTTTTTTTCTCCCCCCTCCTTCAGACAAAAGCTAGTCATGTTTTCAGGAGTGGCTGAAGATTGGATGAAGAGTATCAGGACACAGCACCCGCTGTCTTCCTTGTGGACTCTGAGACAAGAGGGTTTGGACCATCCGAACGTGAACCATACTCTAGCAAAGTGGGCATGGGGTGCTTTTCCTGTGGGGCATCTGCACTATCTTGTCAGTGAGGGAGTGTATTCTATTCTGCTCCTCTCCTTGCTAGCAGAAATTCATTTTTCAGAACAGAAAAACCAAACCAAATGTACAGAGCTTTGGGTGTAGGATATAAAAATGTATTTAGACATTTAAAAAAAAATCAATGTATTTATTTGACTTCATTCCGTGTATCAAAAGCACATTTTAATTTTTTAATCTGCCTTTTTTGTTCTATTTTGATTGGGTAGTGACAGTTCTAGCCCTCTGCATATAGTACACCCTGCCTGCCACTGTTCCTGAACCAAAATTCAGGTCTGAGGGGAGAAGGTTTGCCTATGTGCAAGTGTATCTTTATTTCACTGGACTGGACTCTGCACTCCCTGCTGGCAATCAAACTGCCATGCAAAGAGCTACTTATGAAGGTGTTAGGATGACTTGTGGCTGGAACTATCTGTATTCAACAACTGCATGGGAACTGCTCATGTCACCACATGTGTAACAAGAATTTTCCATGCACTAAATAGCCAGGCACTTGAGACGGGCAAATTTTCTTTTTCCCCTCTCCCATTAGGGGTCTCCTTTTTTGACATGCAAGATTAGACTGGGGAGGAGAAAGATATGTTTAATTTTTTCTTGACTTTGTTGGCTTTGATCATTGTCTCCTTTGTAAAGTGATAAAAATACTTGGACCTGCAGCACTTTTGTAACTCTTCTCTGGATCAAAAAGAAAAAATGCAAACCCAGAAGTGTTTCAAAGATGTGGGGCAGATCTGCCCCTGATTCACTACTGAATGAATAAGGGCTGCCTTTTGAGTTAGCCACAGGTACTGCTGATTATAGGGCCAGTAAGTTTTAGTACCTGAAAGTATGTCTTGCTGAGGGCTTGGGGTGGGTTTTGGGGGTTTTTTGGGGGGGTTGGGTTGGGTTTTGGTTTTTTTTTTGTTTTGTTTTTTTTGTTTTTGTTTTTTTAAAACTGATTTGTGCCAATGTGTTCTCACTGAAACAGAGATGTGCAAAACAAAGGCGGCTGAAACAGCTCTTTAGTACTTCCTTAGGCCTGTTCTAATGGGTTTTGCTGTTGGAATTCCTTCTCGTCTGGGAACAAGATGGTAACTCTCAGGCTACCAGCAGAGCTAACACTGGACAGCCTAAGCTGGCTGTGCCTCTGCTCTGAAGTTGGTCCTAGGACGGGCACTTCCTGCTTGGCATAGGGTGGTTCAAGCTGTCACCGGTATCACAGACACCATGAATACAACTGCTAGTGGAAAGTGTGTAAGGTAGTCTTTTTTGCACTCTCTTCCCAAGTTTTAAACTATTTAATGAACCCAAACTGAACAGCATACCAAATCTGTAAATCCCATTAACACGTCAGAACTGCTATAGCATTGTTTGCATCACAGCACATCATGAAGTGCTAAGAATGTGTCTTTGGTCAGCATAAAGATCATACTCCCTGCTCCTTTAAAAGAAACATTTTCTCTTTAGCTACTGGCAAGAAATCAGATCTGTCCTTTGTCTACTCATACAGGGGAAAAAACAGTTCTTCCCATTAGAAATATGCAAGGGATAAGTTCATGTAAAGATTGACAGAGGTTGAGCAGGGATGATTTTGGGCCTGATGCGAAAGTTGGAGCCATGAGCCCTTATGTAAGAAGGAGTTTGTCTTGTTTTAAGAGCCAATTGCACAAAGTATCATTTTTCACCAGCGGAGCATTACACTGCCAACACAAGCCAAAGTGTTCTCTTCCAGGCTGGCAGGAGCTTCTTCTTCCTTGGGACCCACTAAGTCTTGTCCTGTTGCACCTGTATAAGTATACTGTCAGTATTAGCCGAGCACTTCCATTCTTAGTGGGTGGGATCTCCCCTCCTCACCTTCAGCCATACGGTTCCCTTAGCTATAAACATCTAGACTTCCTCTGATAAGCCCCAAAACTAGAATGCTGCCTCATGCGGATGATCTTTTACCTGATCCTGCCAGAAAGAGAACTGGGCCAGACTTCCTGTTTAAGGCCCTTTCCCCCTTAAATAAAAGGACCCTTGTTCTCCCCCCAGCTCCCCTTCATCAGTTGGCATGATGCTTGCCTAGGTCTACACACTCCAGAAACAGGAGCAGTTATTATGACCTTAGCTGTCTAAAAGCTTTCTAGCAGGCTTCCATGGTTGATGGAAAATTACCACTGAACTCTAATAGAGAGAGCTTAGTCTGGCTTTTCAAGAGTATGCTGGAAGACCAGCAAAGATGGGACCTGTGAAAGCCGGTTGCTTAATGCTCTTTCCTTGTGACTGAAGACAAAATCCTTTGTTCTCTGTTTTTCTCCGAGTTGCATGCATTTCAAGGTTCATGGTGAGCAACATACTGCACGAGAAGCATGTAGCTGTTCAGATGGGCCGTGGGGGAGCAATCTGCCCATGCTGCCTCTGACTTTTTCACCTTTGCTTAAGCGTTTTGTAGCATCATCCACCACTACATTGTTTCATCTCTAATAGATGTAGCAGCAGTGAAAAAGCTGGAAATGCAGAGTATTTATGTTGCCATGTCATCCTTGTATTTCTGCCTCTAGAGCTGCTGGAGTGGAATTTTCCCCACCATCCCCTAATGCTACCTTGGGCATAATCCACTGGGAGGTCAGGTGCAGTTCTGTCCCTGTCACCTCTCAAGAAGTATAAGGGGGAAACGTCCACACTTTGTGCCGGGCTAAAGATGATGGCAGAGAAGCCTTTGTGTTAGATGAAATGGACAGTCTCCAGCCCAAGAGATTGCAGAGAGCTTTAAGGAATGTTAGAGAAGACCAACCCATTTGAACCCAGTTTTATGGGCAATATAAATAACACACTGTGCTCTGTCCTGTTTGCTTTTGTTTCAGCTGGCCTTCTTAGGCTACATTGATGATCCTCACAAATAGGGCATTACTCCTCTAGAAAAAGAATGGTGGGGTCAGGGATCTGTTATCTTCTGAGAGCAGTAACCTGAAATAATGGGGGATTCCTTTTTCCTCTCCAGCACATCTGCTGTATGGCAGACCTCAGGCCATGTCTCGCTGTGTGGAAGGAGCTGGAACTCAAATGCACTATTCAGGATTCTTGCTTTTTTTTCCCCATTAAGCCGTAAGATTACCCTTTTTTAAATTCCAGTTTCCAGTGTAAGGAAGCATTTTAATTTGCCCCTGGTTGGTGATTGATTGATTGTACATTCCTTTATTCAGACTTCATAGCAGAGCAGGACAATGTTTTCTGGTTTGTTTGCCCCAGCCCCTCCTCCCCAATGTTGGTTTGTTTTGTTTTTTTTTTTTTCCTTCCCCAAATACAAGATGAGCAAGGGTTTCTTCTCTTGGGAACAAAGATGCAGTATAGCAACCATTCTTTCATATCCTTCTGAGAAGTGATTTCTCTTCTGCTGTTACGGGATATAGTTCAGGAACAAGCAAAAAAAGTCAGATGGGTACTTTCTGGAAAGGGGAATTTCCTTCTCCTGTAGAAGCGTAGAAGAACAAATGCTAAGCCGGTGTTTGATCACTCTGGTTTCTTGAACATACCTTGTCTGTAGGGAGGGGAGATTTCTTTAACATCCTATAGGTGGGATCAGAAAGAAGCATGAAGAATGTACACCTCAAGAGCTAAGAAGTCTAGATGGTTTTGGTCAGCTTTCAGACAGCACTATGCCTGTTTCCAGTGTTTTCATAAAACTTAGATATTCTGATTTACAGGTACTGTCCCTGTTATTAGAAGAGGGGTCTGATGCTTCAGCAGGTGACCCTTGATTATAATCTCAGTGTGTGATGGTATCTGGTATAGTTTTCTCCCTCCATTCCCCAAAGAAATCCCTTAATTCCCTCCCCCTCCCCCAAAGGTGCCAACTGACAAGCAGATGTACTGCAAAAGGGATACTGCAGCCAAAACACTGCTGTTTTATTTTGAATTAAGTCTTGTGGAGCTCTCTTCATACTAGAATATTTTTATTTTCTTTGTACAACATACAATCATGTACTCTTAACAGAGATTTACTTTAAAGAGAAGAAAAAAATCTGGAAGTATTCTTTAAAAAATACACAAAAATCTTTATTAATAATCCTGTATTTTTACTGATCATGTTTGAATGTCTAAAAAGACTTTATTGTTCTAATTATCCAGATGTATGTTTGTAAAATAGCTCTTTTATGACTTAGCTGATAAGGTTGTATGTTTCTGGAATTAAATATTGGTCACTTAAAAAAAAAATCTGTTTTCAGGATCTGGGAAATAGAAAATTTAAGCGTTTCAAATATCATTAAATAAGCTTAAAGGAAATAAGTTTTGTCTGCTGGATTTTTGGGGGGTTGTTTTGCTTTAATTGCCTGGAGCGTTTGGCAGGATGAACTGGATTGATCGGCAAAGGAAGCTTTCATTTGGTACAAATGACCTTTCAGAATCTGTTGTTGCTGTTGCAAATGTGAAACTCCCAATTCTCCCAGTTAACACAATTCTTACTGATCAGTCGCTCTTCCTTGAGGAGAGAGCGAGAGCCTCCTGCCAGTGGCAGTGGAGATGCCATCCTGTGCCGAGCTCTGCTGTGGGCACTGCCTGTGCCCAGCTGGCTGGCAAAGTGAGCAAAAATGCTGCCTTTGTTGGCTGGTCAAGGCAAAAGGGTCCTGTAGTTCCAAACACTGACTGGTTCCCCTCCTGCTGTGCTGTCTTCTGCTAGTTTCAAAAGAAATGTTTTGTTTTTTTTTTAGTGTATGAGTTCACCCTACCCATCCATATCTCATCCCCATCCTAACCTCATGAATAAACAGTGCAAGAAATGGATGTTTCTGGACTTGGCAGTCTCTGCTTAAAGAGCTACTTCTAGCAATGTATCTCATTTTGTGTGTCTTCTCCAAAGGTCTGTGCCCTTGAAAAACACGGGGGG